ATACTAGATACTATATTCTTTTCACGTATTTCTCTATAAGATAAATAAAAAACAAATAAATGCTTTTTATAAAAAAGTTAAGTTTGTAAATAACTGGAAAAAACATATCTTACATTATCAAACAAATTCCCTTATATTTCCTAAAAAATAACACATAGTGCACACAACAGAACAACCATAAACATCCACACTGTTTGATAATCTATAGATTTCTTTCGTCTATTTGATATTTAGAACAAAATCCTAATGTCAAAAATGGTATATAGTTCGCTCCGTTCATTCAAACCGTTAGTGTTGTCAGCCAGAAAAAAATTACCCATGTCAATGTATAGCGAAAAAACGACTCATTGTGCTGGCAACAAATTGGCCAGTGGTTAAATTTGACTATGGTTAAATTTGGCATCAAAAAACGCAATAGCGAGTTAACAACTTGTTATTGTTTTAACTATAGTCAAGTTAACAAATGGTTAAATGACATTTGACTACGGATCAAAAAACTGGCCCTAAGCCTTTCAGGTAAAAATAAAAATAATAAAAGACATAGTTTATACTTACAAACTTTATTTATATTTTACAGACGCCGCTGCAATAAATAATGTAACCCAAACAGATAAACATGAAATAAATCAGATCCTAAAAAAACATTTATAATACTAGTTTGATCGGATTTATCGAGCCGTCGTCCACACTTCTGTTTTATGAGAAGCAGACTAAATAAGTACCAATTAGGTACTGCCAGTAAAATAATATAAATCATACATAATGGATATATAGTCCAGACAAAATAGAGTTTTTTACAATCGTGTCTAATTTTTCCAGTAGCGAGCTAGTTTCAAAAATATATGTATGTAAAGAACGAAGATTTGTGACATTAAGGAATACGTAAGTACCGCGGGTAGGGAGCACGAAGGGACGATTCGAAGGATTATTTATAATACAGTATCTTCAAAAAATCCCGATTGCTGGTAATTGATGTCAAACTTGTCAATTTTTTCGTCTTTTTGTCTGGCTTACATAATAAGACTATAAGCACTTAAAACTATAAATACTTGGTTATCTAACTTACAAACTGACAAGTTTTGGCAGTAGTGTGAATATCGGCAGCAAAATGACCTGTCATACATTTATTTCTTCATTTTCATACAACGATCAATTTATTGCATTCCAGCACGCGTGCATGACGTTCCAGCATGACGGACTCGTGAAACATTTTGTCTATATCCAAAATATCGCCAACATGATCATGACATACCCGAGAATATTCACAGTGCGAAGTGTATTGTAGTTATTCTGTCCATCATTTTCGTGAACGCGTGTACATACATACAACACTTGTATGTCCACATAACTCGTTAATTAAACCGGTCTCGAGCCAGGGGCGTAGCTACCACCGTATTTGCCGTATCAATTATACAGGGCCCCCGGGCGAGTGGAGGGCCCCCAACGTGCGTAAGCAAAAATTAATAAAAACTTCCCAAATTTCTATTTATATCAGAAATGACAAAAGTAAAAAAAAAACGCGTAAAGGTGCCTTTCAAAGTTGGCAACACCCTCGATATTCGCGAACTGCGGGATTTCTCCGTTTAAGTCATTTACTTCAATGGGGGAATCTCACAATAACCGACGTACATACGATTACAATTCGCAGTTTATAATAATAATAATAATCATTTAATCAAACATTTATTTTTCTTTTGTGAGAAATATGTACCCTCCATAAGGGGCCCCTAAACAAATTATACTCGGCCCCGCCAAGGTACGCTAAGCCACTGTCTCGAGCCAAAGCTGTCACGATGATACGCGTGCGGAGATGTCAACCGTTTACTTCAAAATCAACTCACAAACTATAAAGGCTCATTCATATTTTGGTCCACAAATATTTTAGTTATCGGCACAAGTTTCAAAATTCTAATATCGTTACAGCATATCAATAATAATTACCATAAAAAATAAAATCGAGATATTATGTACATGTTTCTGTAAAACGTAGCGATACTGGTACCAACTTGTGCCGTCGTTAGAACGAGCCTTTATTAGTGTAATGTTCATATAAAAAGAAAATAAAGTAACATAATGAATAGACAACAGGAAACAATCCTATATAAAATGTAAAGAAAGAAAATAATCAGAGATCACCTTTTGAAAATAAACAAAACACAGCATTAAACTATTAGGAATATTAAGTACTTATTCTACGGTTAAATAAAATTGTCCCAGAACAAACGCAGTGTAAACTAAGAAATTAACAATACTACACGCAGGTAAAAAAAACGCGTTTTTTTTTTATTATAATGCGTTTTGCATAAATCCGCATCAAAACCTACTCGTCAAAAGCTTACAAATCCAATTAAACAGTCAACGGAATAATAACGTACGTATAATAAGTACAATTCGATTGACCGGCACAGCGGCAAGCTATTATAGACGATTTTGTATTATTTTATATTAACAACATTTCTCATAGAAACAACAATATTAATTTCGAACTGCCATCGGTTAAAACTAACGAAACGTAATTTTATGAGTGAAGCTCACATTCTATCAGATTTATGTAAATCACATTGCTATAACCGAAAACAGTGGCTTTCGACTAATACTCTTAATACTCAATTTCTGGCGATATTTGCACAATATTTGGTCTCAAACACTGATAGAAGTCATCAAAATCAACGAAAGCGTAAGCTTTAAAATGTTTTCTAATAACAAGTTTATTACATAAATATTATCACAACACCTTAGCGCAAAACAAGCCGTATACAAGTTAGCTGCCTCCCACAATATACACAATATCCAATAGCTAAACCAAAATCGATCGCCGTACACTAACAACGTCCAATATACTTATATAAAATGAGATCATCCAAACTGTCAAATATTCTACAACGATTGAACCGAGTCATACAGAAAATATTCAGGCCATATAATTACTATTTACCTACTAAAATGACCCATTTTCTCATATCAATAAATACTAATTTCACTATTACAATAAAGGTCAGTTTACACAAACGTTTATTTATGTTTTCGCAGTCCAAAGTGCACAATCATGCAGCATATGCATATGATCTTGTCATGAGTGCCATTTAATTCGTACCGTTTACGTGTAAACATTTGGAGCCCCAATAACCATCCAGTTACTTAAAACAGTCTCTTCAGAAAAGTCTTATCACTTCAGTCTTTAGTTTACGACCAATGATATTTTTATCCAATAACCAACAGGCATCATACCGAACGCTACTATAAACCAATGAGTAAGGTCTTACATTTGACAGTATTTTCCTAATCCCTCCATTTACAAATACCCTCTGTAATGTATATACTTCAAACCTGTGGATCTACCGCTCAACTGATTAAAGTGTATGATGACAGATGTTTTAGACCGGGTGACGAGGTAGACCACCTGGAACGCGCCTTATGCACTTAGCAATACTTAAGCACGTTTTATAACAAGCCATTGAACGGGGCATAATTCAGCGTACAACATATACATTATAAGTCTTATCTGATAACATTTATTACGTATTATATTAGGAATATTTTTTTTTCAAGTTTTCTTACTCATCATGGTAGAGTAAGTACAAAAAATTTGCTATAATAATTAAAATTCCAGAAATTTCTTAAAATACAATTTGCCTACATAAACAATTACATTTAAGCTTGCGTTTGAAAATTTTTAATGCTAGTTAGAAATAAACCATTGCATTTTATACTCTTTTCATCAATGTTGATCGGATGCATTAAAACAACCGTTTGAATACACACTAATTATATGACAAATGTATGAGATTACAATATTGGACGGTCATCTAATACTTTATAAAAATTTATATCAGACAAATAAACAATACGATCCATTAATTACCCAACCATATCAAAAAGCCACTGAGAATAATTAATGTAATTATATGTAATTATTGTATATAAAAATAATGGACTTAATCAGTTACTGTAATATAGTTTATCTTTATCCCTTTTATTATAAAGTATAATACTACAATAAAAAAAATATATATTTAAAAACTGTGGTTCAAAAAGTCGCAACCCTCACTGCTCCGAGTATGACGTAAGCTCTCCTTTTTTTCTACCTGTAAAGTGAGACTATACTAGGTCGTCCTAATCTTAATGGATAGGCATTTTAATAACGTAATTTTTCACAGATTAATGATTATGTCTGTGATTATTATCAACGATTGAAAATCGTAGGGTGTCCATAATTTTAAACAATTGTAGGACCAAACGCAGCTGCTACCATAATATGTCATATTTTTGCAAACTTTGGATTCTATTTTTAATGAACTAGAAGGATATTTTTTAGTATCACCATAAACAATTAAGTGATTAATTTTGTTATTCTTATATTTTTGGTTTTTCTTTTTTATTTATACATTAATAAACGTCCTCACTTACCTTATTGACTTATTAGAGATAATTTTTGTTACAACCCTTTGGCGTTTAAGCTATTCGTTTCCAGATTATTAATATTTGCAAATATCTTGATAAGTGATTGATAAATTAACATTCTTATCGTCATTTTATAAGTATAATGTATTACTCTGTCAACTTAAGCAATATGTCAAATGTCTATGAGATAATATTACAAATATTAATATCATTCTAATGTTTAGTCATCGGAGTTCGAAACAGTGTCAGAATATCAGCCAGTTGCACAAACGTCCATTAAGGTTTAATGACGCCTTTAAGCTCTAATGAATGTCAAAATTGTATGGGTAATGTCACTTTAAACTAATGAGAACTTTAACGGACGTTTGTGCAACTCACTGTAAGTATGTTGTATTGTTTTGTTGTCGAGATTATATATCAAGCCTTGACTGATAATACAAAATAGATGATAGATTACAATATTATTTAAGTAAATGTGGCAAATATACATACAGTATTTAGGCCTTTAAATATAATACCACAAACAAGGCGTGGACGAAGCTGCTTCTTCCTTATCGCATCGCATTAAAAGTCTAGTGTAGAGTAGTAGTACAAAGCTTGATCGAATGTAAGGTATTTTTATTTTGAAATACATTCAAGGAAGCACCTTATGATCCTGTGATGGTTTTTAGTTGTGCTAATATAATTTATGAAGACTACAAGTGAAATATTCTGAAACACAATATTAGTCTTACAAAACGAATTGCAATTTATATTAATTTTGATGTTTATAAGTTACATACACTTACATTCACAAACACCACATTTCAATACTTTTTTTTGTATTGTAATCCTTCACAATAGTGAAAATTTCACAAGTCAGTGCCTTTTACCAAATAACCCGCTCACATTCAACACAGAGTATATCAAAAATACATATTTTAATTCCATTTCTTATGCAAAAAGTGACGTTACAGTAGTGGGTATGAGTGACATTGTTATAACTTCTCTCCCTCGGTGTAAAATCACTATCCATTTTGTATTTATTAATGTATAATTTGGAACTTCATACATTGTGTGTATACAATCTCAACTGCATATTGTAAAAACAACAATACCTACGTCCGCTTCTATCAAACTACTAATATGAAAATTGTAAATTTGTTCATAGTAAATGACTTCTAATTTAAATTTCCAATTTATTGGCAATCAAGCATCGACTTTCGAGTCTACGCAAATATTTTATTGAGCAAACCTAATAAACACCGTAAATACGTTCGAAACATTATTCTAACATTTCCGAACTTGATACAAAAGTGTATATTATGATAATCAAAACTGATATAACACAATATTGCGTTTGCAGTACTCCGCCTATTGGTGCACTCCAACAATATTCGAGCCGTTAAGTGTTGTAATTGAATAATCAATTACTCAATTTGATACTTATGTTTACATGACTTATAGATGACATACAAATTTGATACATAAAGTATCAAATTGAGTAGATGACATACATTTTAAGTACTACTACACTTTTGTGTCAGACTTTTCTTCTTGTTTTTACAATATATATTTAGGAAAAATAACCACATTTCTTAAGGATAAAATTTGCCAACCGAGGTAACGCTAGGAAGCAGTGAGTGTGGAAATATTAAAAATAATGAGTAATTTTCTGAAGACAAATGAAGAATGACATTTAAAAAGCTGTGAAAATTAAGAAATTCTTTAAGTACAAAAACTTCCAACTCCTGTATCTTAGCTTTCAAGATGGCAAACTAACCAGATTGTATTTAATTTTCTAAAAAGACTACACGCCGAGCGTGTTGCTGATCAAATTACCAATCAGTATTTGCGAGCACATTCACTCGCCCTGTCACGTATATCTATCACTTAATTTAACACCAAATAAAATTAAATATATCACACATAACATACCTCGTACGGGCGGTAAAGTTTGACTAGGCGATATTTGTTCGAGGTGACATCACCATATACTGATGGTCTATAGGCGGTGGCGGAACGATAGGGGACATCGGTAAATAATCACTTTCAGGCGTGTCTTTGAGGCGTATCTTGAACTGTTCCCGCATTATCAAGTCCACGATCTCCTGTGGGAGGGCCAGTGTGGTTATGGCGTCGTCGTTGAATTCTATAGACAGATCCGCGTCGAAGTCGTCGAACTCGTCCTCTAAACACTCGACGGATTTCGAGCAGCGCGCTGTGGTCGCCGTTGTGTCCACGTGCGAGGTCTCGTCGAGGAACTCGCAGCTCTTCGCTTCGCCTTTGCCTATTTTCAGGCCGCGCATTTTGCGGGACACCTTGAAGCTCTTGAATATGTCCCGCGTCGGTGTGAAGTCGAACTTTTTCTTTTTTGTCTCCACGTCTTTGCTATCTTTCGATGTGTCCGATTTGGGTGAGCAGGCGACGCGTGAGTCGCTTTTCAGTCTTTTTCTGTTAAATTATAAAATATTTTTAATTTATGTATTGATAAATTTAAATTGTGATGTAATATATTTCATTTAATAATATCAAAGACATTTATTAATGAATAAAAAGCTCAATTCCATGAACCGACAAGAGTGACTGCCAATTCAGGCTACTTGTTTAATATTATCAAAATTTTTCACGTGAACGTTACTAGAAAGTTACGAGACAACGGTCTCTAATGAACCTAAAATAATAGTTAGGCCATTTACAAATAACCGCATACATAATTATATTTAATTCTATATTATAATTATCAATTTAATATAGTTGAAAAATAGTGCATATATCATACCCCAATGTACTTTACAGCAAGCTTTTTTATCTGATAAAGAATGAATTCATTCGGTCTTTCCCTTCAAAAACGAAGAAAATTATTATGCAGAAACTAGTTTTGTGACATGGCTATGACTGGTATTTATAAAAACAGAAACACACTATATTAGTCGTGCAATCTTAAAAAGCATAACCATACTGAATAATTCATATATTATGTAAAAGCTTACTCCAAACTATTCAAGAAATATGGGTATTAGCGAAGTCAAAATTTTATTAGAGACAAAATAAAACAATGATAAAATCTAAACTCCTACTTGGAATATTATCAATCGTGAAACTGGTAAAAATAGACCATATAAAGATGTAACGAAACAGGATTTTAGTAATTATAGACCCATTTCAATTCTACCGACACTTAGTAAGATTTTTGAAAAAAATATTCTGGAGAAACTAATATCCTACTTTAATTTCAACAAATTTCTGAAGTGTTTTGCGATCTGTCCAAAGCCTTCGATTGCGTCGAGCATCAGACACTGTCGTTTAAACTGAATTACTACGATATTAAAGGTGTTGATTATTGCTGCTGTCGTATCTCAGTTCCAGAACACAAACTGTATATATAAATGATGCAACGTCGTCGGGGTCTCGTGTAAATATAGGCGTTCCCCAAGGTTCTATCTTAGGTCCATTTCTATTTATAATATATATATATATATATATATATATATATATATATATATGATTTGCTATTTTTTATTAAATGCGGGCGCCCATGAGAAGTTTCGTGTAACGTCACATTTCAATAAACTAAATATCCTATTCGTCGTGAGTGCAACCGTTAATTATTTTTTTTTTAAATGTGACTTATTGAATAAAAGTAGTTTCTCCTTTATGTAATAATACTTTTTGAAGTGAATCTGATGGAGATTTAATATAATCATATGTAAGTTTTAAAATACTCAAAACAGTCAAACGGCAAGTTCCATTTAAATTTGACAGGTGATTCGGGAGGCTCTACTGTAATATTGGTCGGTTATACAACGAAAAATTTCATATTTTGTTTTATTACCGGCTCACTATCCGTTATGATCCAAGCGTAAGGCGAGTGAAGTGAATGCGAGTGCGAGTGTGTACCTGAACACGCTGAAGGTGCGCGGCTTGCCCTGCGGCGGGCGCGCGCAGCAGCGCGGCAGCGACCCCAGCGAGCCGTGCCGCGTGACGCCCCCGCCCCCGCCCCCCACCGCCCCCACCACGCCCACCACGCTGCCCCCCAGCCCGGCCCCCGCCGCGCTCGCGCACTTGCAACTGAACGAGGAGCCCACGCGAGACCTACGGCAATCGTCATTTATAATGCCTCGTCTAAAGCCGAGAGTAAAATGTAAGCAGGTGAGACACAAAGGGTCAGTTGCTCAAACTGCATGCGTTTAATGACGTCTTTAAGCTCTGATGAATGCCAAAGGGTTTAGCCGGATACGTATGACGAGTCGGCCCCCAAATGGGAATCGATATTGAAACTTATGTTTTAATATAGACTTGATGTTCAAACACGATTTATGTACTTTTCGCGACCGACTTCCGCTTTGACCTTGAGATAGAGAGCAAAATATCCGTATGCTTGACTATTACTGAATGTGATATATCTCTGAAGCTAATTAAGATAAAGAAGTGAAACTAACGCGAGGTGTTAGGTTACATTACAGAGTATATCACATATATTTTTTTATAATTTTTAGAATAAAAAATTACGTTAAAAAAATAAAAATAAAAAAAAACATGTTTTTTTTTCCGAGTTCTCTGTGACTTACAATCACGAAATTAATATATGTTATGCTCCTTTGTGTGCTCTATCACCCATAAAAATTGCGTGAAAAAAAAGTTGGTGCAACACAACGAAAAAAAATTATATGTGATTCGCGCCTTGTAGTGTGAGTGTATAAACAAACAAGTTCGAACTTGTTATCGAGCTGTTTACTGCATCGTTTGTTTAGCTAAAGTAGCAGTCATTTGTATTACACAAGAAGGCAGTTTGGGACTCAAATTCTGTCTTAGGTATTTTGTATCAGCATTTTGAAATTATTAACTATCGAACCAAATCATTATTAAGTAATAATGTCGAGAAAGTGTAAAAATTGTAACAAGTACCTGTGTAAGATTCCTGGTTATAAAAAAAATTATAAAGAATGAAGAAGAAGCTAAAGTGTTTAGTGACTGTTTGAATAAAATCGTAATAGTTAATGATATTTTTTGTAAGAAGTGTCGACTTATCCCATATATTAACAAAAAAGCTTCTACTTCTAAATGTGCAGCATTTAACTTGGCCGAAATAATGGACGATCAAAATAATCTCTCAGTACAATATGTGAAATCAGCACCTAATATCATCAAAGCAGAAGTAAAATCAAGACATATAAATAGAAAAGTCTATCGAATTTACATTCACTATATTTCCGAAGGTAATGACTACAATAGTATTCTTCGTTATTGCTGTGATTGCCCCAATGGCAAACGTACAGTGGGATGCTGTTCTCATGTAGCAGCTATTATTTATTATCTATCATATGGATGATATTTGTCCAAAATCGTACGTCCTGCTGAGGTCCTAACTAAGTTATTTGCGACTCAAAGTGTTCCGATTGTAATTAATTACAACAGTGACGATGATTAATATTTTGTTTCTTGTATTTTGATAGACACGAAAAAGTAATAATAATAAGTATTGAACACTGGCTGTTTTTTTTTTCATTTCTTTTTTAACTATTATCCCATCTCTTAAGACTAGTTACTTATGTTTTAAAACAAGCTGATGTGAAATTTCGAAAAAAAAAACAATGATGTAATGTGAAAACCTTATAATACAGGGGTATACCATAAGACAGAAATCACATATAATTTTTTTTCGTTGTGTTGCACCAACTTTTTTTTCACGCAATTTTTATGGGTAATAGAGCACACAAAGGAGCATAACATATATTAATTTCGTGATTGTAAGTCACAGAGAACTCAGAAAAAAAAACATGATTTTTTTATTTTTAATTTTTTTAATGTAATTTTTTATTCTAAAAATTATAAAAAAATATATGTGATATACTCTGTAATGTAACCTAACACCTCGCGTTAGTTTCACTTCTTTATCTTAATTAGCTTTAGAGATATATCACATTCAGTAATAGTCAAGCATACGGATATTTTGCTCTCTATCTCAAGGTCAAAGCGGAAGTCGGTCGCGAAAAGTACATAAATCGTGTTTGAACATCAAGTCGATATTAAAACATAAGTTTCAATATCGATTCCCATTTGGGGGCCGACTCGTCATACGTATCCGGCTAAACCCTTTGTATGGGTAATGTCGTTTTAAACTAATGACAATTTTAATGGACCTTTGTGCAACTGACTGAATATAATATTATCATCGTGAAACTACCGACATCTGGCGACTTCCGCCTAATTCTATTAAATACATGACATTATATTTGGTTAGTGGTTTAGTTTTTTGGTATTCGTCTCTTTGCTATTTTGAGTATTTTCAGATTCATAAAATGTAATCGAGTGTAATCGAGAAAATCATTAAATGACATCGAGCAAATACTATGGAAAAAAATCCGCGGCGGACAGAAATTAAAAAGATACATAGGTTTTTGTCCTCTAGTTTATCATAGTGAGGTGATCTTGGAAAATATGGAAGTTTCTTAAAAAAAAACTAAACTTGTCATAACCGATTCATCGTCGAGCCCATTATATTAAACTAGCAAATTTATTTTGTAGAAGAGATACTGACTATGAAAAAAAATTTTTGGTATTTCACCCCGTAAGGCAGTGAAATGAGAATTAATTCTGGCTACACGTTAAATTTTAAAATAATGCATACCCGCACGTGTGCCGCGGCGGTAGAGGCGGCGGCCGCGCGCGTCTCACTGTTGCATAAACACACTCCACCACAGACTCGTAGGTGGGCTCCTCCAATACCTACACGAACATTTTATCTTGATCACTATTTTCTAATTCATTAATCTTATCGAGAGCAGCATTTTCTAACAATGTACAGTTAAAAATATAACAAAAATAACCACAACAAGTTCAATTTGAGATTAGCTGGCCTAGCAAAAACGTTCTTTTTTTATGACCTTTTTCCGTTATGCATCAGAAATTCTACCAACATCCTGTAGTGAGAGAGACACGGGAGTCGGGAGACTAAGCGGTAGTTAAAATTAACCAGTTCTTCCTTGAGATTGTTCGTTCTCTGCTCTAAAAAGGACAACACAAAAGCTAGCATCACTATAACTATGGTAGTTTTATGAATACATAATAGAGGATTTTGCAACACCTACTGTTATAATTTGATATTATGTTTTTTTATAAATTTGCAAAGAGATAGTAAGCCGGGTATTAACAATTGATACACGATAAAATGTCACTGTCACACTTCTTTGAGTCGTTAATACCCTCCACTCCGCGTTGGCCCAGCGTGGAGGGTCATGGCACATGCTCCTTAACCATCCATAAGGAAGGCCTGAGGCCCTGCAGTGGGGACGTAAAAGGGCTGGTGAAGTGGTGGTGAAGACACTTCTTTGGCGGTGAGACAGAAAGTACACACATGAGAATAGAAATTCATGTTAATTCATAAATTATAATATATAGATTGCTGCACTGACCGGTAGGGGGCGGGGGCGGGAAGTGGGCGCGTCCCGACTCATGGGGCAGTAGAGCTCGCTGGGGGGCAGCTCCGGGATCTCCTCGTAGATACCCGACGCTATCGATACTAGCGACCGGCGATCCGACATACTATATCAACCAATTAATATACTTCAATACATTAAAGCTTAATAGAGACGCTGAAATAGATCAACATTAATAAATCTCTAAGTCCACGTGGGTATTGATCTACTGAAGAAAGTGTGTAAGGATTGTAAAGATACTTTTCATCATAATAATAAAATAAAAATAATACTCACCGCAAATACTAGAAAACAACTTGCATTTTGTAGAGAATATTAGTTTTATTTTATAAATCATGATTAAAAAGTATGTTAAAAGACTAACTAAATCAGTTTGTTTCTGTGGCAATTCCCATGGGAACTTCGACAAAGAATACTGCTATTTCAGTACTTATATTTGTTAGTTTCAACTTTATTTCTTAACTATATATTTGTGGTACTCAACAAGTATTCTTCAGGTCTTCAACAATTATTTATATTTTAAAATTGTATATCCATGCAATTCCTTTTTAAAATTTATCAAAATGATTAAAATTTTTATACATCACTTGAATAATAATTACTTATACATAAATGGGTAAATTATAAAATGTGCACATCCAATTCTAATCCAATCCTACCGAAGGCTAGCAATAATCGCCTAAATATGATAGTCCACTAATGCCAAATTCCTTTAATACATAATGTATGTAGGGCATACCTATCATCGGATGTAGGACGGTCTGGTGCAAGATGGCCGGCGCCGTTGCAGCGAGACAGTTGCCCGCTCGGTATACGCTTCGCTTCCTTAAATAATAAGTTGATCAGTAGGACAAATTATTATTAGCCTATTGAAGTCCCATTTCTAGAGTACAGACTTCCTATATGCTAGAATCTTAAAAAGCGAACGGACAATAACTCATCACACGATCCCAAACCAGAGTGGTGGGTATCAGCGACTGCAATGCAAAAGGGAACAACGGCTTAACATGGCTAAGTTAGTCTAGCTCCAGATATTAAATATTTGGTAAGTCATCCCATGAACGAAATTTGCTCAACATCTACAAATACCCGAGTTAACGCAGGAACAACTACAACTTCGAGCTATAGTATAGTATTTGTACAAATACACATTTTTATTTTACAATATATGTTTATACAAGTTATTTTTCAATTCAACCCGCACTGAATCCGCGTGGTGAGTCATGGCCCATTCTCCATATACAATTTGGTTCGATTCCATCTATGGAAAAGGGCTGAGCTCCAGCAGTAGGGGCATAAAAAGGATAAAGGAGATAATAATGATATTTTGAAGTGTTAAAAAATGGTTTTAATCCATAGATAATACGAATAATAAATACCTTTGACATGATCAAATCAATATCATCCAGTGAGACCTCGGAGGGGCCGCTATACCAGCTGCTGCGACGTAATTCACCTGCACATGAAATAATAATTATGACTAATTGAATAGTATCGATTTAATTAAATACTAGCTTTTGCCCACGATTTTACTTCGGGCAGTAATTCTTAAACGAATATTTATTAATAATATCGTGTAAAATACTTATTTTTCAATTAAAGTTTGCACGGAAGTTTGTCGTTGTCAAATATGACAATGAAAAACTTCCGTGCATAAGGGAACAAATCCATATTGAAAAAAAAAAATTCCTTATTTCAACACTTTATTTATATCATAATATAAAGCAACCTATATCAAGTCAACTCTGTTTTAGTCTGGGTTAGGCATGAGAGCGTAACTGACTATAATATTAGTATGGACTAATTAAACGATTCTGAACAGACAGTTACCGAAATAATTAGACTAAGAACAATAAAAATCACGATTGCATGGTCGACTTCTAAACTTACAGCCCTTTAAATTTAAAGTAAAAGTTTAAATTGTTATACGCGTCATAGCGTGGGCATAGTCGAATAAAATTTCTTTGAAGACACTACAACAGAGAGCTATGTACAGCGCGCCATTTCCGATATGAAATACAGATGGAAAGAAAGTGACGGTGAGTGCACCCACAGCCTCTGTTATTCTGTCATAACCACATAGTAAATTCAAAAAGAATAAGGAAGCTAAATATATGTTACATGAAATGGGAGGACAAGTACCAAGTAATATACAAGACATGGAGACATTTGACTATACAACTCCCAATTACACAATTCACCCACCCAGACCCAACACAAGAGGCCAAGAAGCCATTCTTTACAATATTTACGATATGTTCTAAGACTGCAATTATTTTCAATTTTACGAATAGGAGATGGTAAATCATTCCATATTTTAGCAGAGGCCAACTTGAAGCAACCCCTTGCACATGCTAATCTACATAGTGGTACATGCAACATTAGACCCCTGTCTCTTAGAGAAGGATTGTTTTTTTTTTACTTAAATAAAGTGGACATTTTGTGTGAAACAGTATATGCAGAAAACATGAATATTTAAGAATACAAGCGTTAGACATATTGAGTATACGTTCTTGCAATAAATGCGGTGAAATTCTACTTCTTCTAAGTATTGCAGAACAGAATCTCATACATGCGTTTTGAACTCGTACAGTTATGTTTTTTTTTTTATATAAACAATATCCGCAAATGAAACAGTACCAGAGCGTTACAAAGAATCGAGGGTGTTTGCTCTAATAAAAGATCATATCTATTAAAGTCATTAAAGATGCAAACTATTATGCTGATTTACTACGAACATGTTGTTCAAATCTCAAAGACTCATCCATCGTTAACTTTTATCGAGGTTAAAATTTACTTCTTAATACTAATCATCACCAGCCCTTTTACGTCCCCACTGCAGGGGCTCAGGCCTTCCTTATGGTTAAGGAGGATGGGCCATGACCCTCCACGCTGGCCCAATGCGGATTGGAGGGTATTAACGACTGCAAATGCAGCCGGGACCAACGGCTTAACGTGCCTTCCGAAGCACGGAGTAGCTCGAGATAATAATTTTTGGTCACCCATCCCGTGACCGACCCTTGCGAAAGTTGCTTAACGACTACGATCGCGGGCCGCGGCGCTTATCCACTACGCCACCGAGCTTAATACTAATACAATTATACAAAGACAAAATATACCGCGATTTAGATAGCTGCGAATGCTTTAATATGTTTATTAATCGCTTAAATTTCGAGGTTATTTTTTAACAGATAACAAAACTAAATGAACATGAAATGAAATGACATAATGATTCAACTAGAAAACTAGGTGTGCAAGTGAATGCGTCATTCAATTAAATGGCTAGTCACCCAATTAAACGGCTATTTAACCAATTGACTGCGACATGTATAAAATGATTTGTACTTGAATATTATTATAATATTTGTACTATTATACTAAAATATTTGTTTAAAATGGTATTGATATTTTCAATTAATGTACTTAAATATCAATTTTTATCACAATATAAGGAAATCTGTATATATATATATATATATATATATATATATATATATATATATATATATATATATATATATATATATATATATATATATATATATAGATTTATTACAATGATTTGTAAACAATGGTTGCTATGGTGGTAACATTTTTATTCCCCATAAAAGTTTTCATTCCCATTTTTATCTCTTTAAATGCTAGTTTTCGAGATAAAATATAACCTATCACCTTCCTAGGGTTTTGCACTACCAAATACCAATTTTTATCGATATATGTCCAAAAACAAAGTAATTTTATACAAAACGTTTTCATCGTTTTGACCACCCTTGGGAGTGAAATTTCCGAAAATTCGTCCTTAGTCCACCTCTAGGTAATAAGACAAATGTACCATCCACTTTTCAAGTCTCTATGACCAGCGGTGTAGACTGTGCGCTGTCTCTCAGTCAGTATTTCAGGACATCTCTTTTATATATGTATAATAATATTAACACACAACAGCGCATCAGGTTACCATAATGTGTAGCACTCCACAACAACAAAAGATTGAAAATGAAATGAAAATATTTAATCGTTTTCGATAGTTTGGTATGATATAAGCCAGTGCTGAACTAGATTTCCCTCCTTATACAGACAGGTCTCCCGCCGTAGATTTAGGTACCGAATGCGTAGCTTTCGATATTCACAAGTGCAACTTTTTCCAAACATTTTTTTAGATTTTAAATTTTCTACAAAAATGTATCCAAAGTATGAGGAGTTTTACGGTCCGTTGCACAAACGTCCATTAAGGTATAAAAACCTCTTTAAGCTCTAATGAATGTCAAATTTGTATCAATAATGTCACTTTAATTAAATTATAGAATCAATTTTAATGAATGTCTGTGCAAATATCTCTTAATGTTTTCAAGCGTGAAGATTTATCTACTACCGTCACTGTTCTGTGTAGTCCGCAGGTCGCCCTCGCTTTTGCTCAGCTTCTTGGTGGAGCGCGAGTGCTGTCCGATGGCTCGTTTCAGGGCTACAGTCAGATCGCTGGCCAAAGGGCCGGAGAACTTCAACTCGCCGCAACCACTAGGGGAACTGCTGCAGTGCAATTTATCATTTATCAATGACTAGAAGATACTCGTGCGCAAACGCATAACATAAAACAACAGTACTTAGAAATGTACGAAGCGAATTTGTGTTTACCTTCGCTGTACCTTAATGTGACTAGCTTCATTTTTAAAGGTTTCAAATGTTGACTACATTTGAATTAATAACTTAAGCATTTTATGTCTAAGTTGTCGAATTCGTGAATCATCAAATCGGTAATTATCTCATTATGATTTCAATACAAACTGAAATAATTTATAGCTTTTTTTATTACTAATTATTATTAAACAACCAAACACGCACAGGGATGCGCGCAGACTTGCACTATTAATGCAAGTGGCTTTTGTCACTAAACTTTATGATTAATTTGAATTTTTACTCTGGCAAAGTGGAGGCATAATATTTTTGAATGATTTATTATAACATTTAATTGTTACAAAACTAAACCTCTTTCGGTTAATCTCTTTTGTATTGAATATAGATATGGTTGAATGACAAAATTAAAAATAATGATAATACACGATGTGTTTAAATTCCAGAGAGAACTTGTTCAAATAGTCATTTAATGGTAAATGGTTAATCGTGCGCAATTCTACTATACATGTAGTTTTGTAATTGAACAATTATGATATCTCAGACGTTCAAGAAAACGGCTGACTGGAAACTCAGCAGGCCAATAATGTTAATGTTTCAGCAATAATCACATCTCAATAGAATCTCAACAACTTGTATTTTACTATTGTACTATTTACCTAAAACCCAATATTATTATTGCAATATCTTTCTCACGCATCAATGGTGACATATATATAATAATATTGCACTTGTATATTTGGTTTAATTGTTTGTTAATTTCTGCCCCGGTCACCTTGACTGGGTGATGGCTGAAAATCGGTGATTCAACCGTTCCTGGGTGATTCAGATGCACTAAGCCTTGACCCTTTTCTAACTGCTACACACAGGTACATCATGATTAATAATTTAAGTTTCTTGTGTTATTTAAAACTTTGTCGATGTGATTGTGTGTAGTTATTAATAATAAACGTTTCTCTATCTAACTTCAGGTACATAGTACAATAGCAAAATGCTAGTACTTGAGATTCTATTGAGATCCGATCATTACGGAAACATTACCAGAATTGGCCTGCTGTATTGTTGAATTAGTAAGTTTATGGATCAGACATTCAAGTTCTCAAAATGTTCCATCCTTAACATCACATAATATAATTCTTCAACAAACTTCGATTTCTGTTTATAATGAGGCGAAACACTCATGCAATAATCTACTTTTTTATTGAAACCTTTATAAAACACCATATTTATGACATACATATTAGCAGATGTTTACTGGATATGAATCATGCACAAGCAAAATTAAAATGATTTACGATAAGGCAATATGTAAAGTACTTGAACGTTCACTAAGCCCAAAATAACTACGATCACATTCGGTGTTAGTATTTCTACTGAATATCTGGATGCAAGTGAAAAAATGGCTGGATGAAAACAATTGTTAATATTAAAAGTCGGTACTTATTATATTTGATAAAATAACTTGGAATAGGTTTAAAGTTGTTTTTTGTAGTAGGCAAAAAATGAAAATATATATAATAAGCCTTGGCTAGAGAATTGGTGGAGCAAGCAATGGTTCTATTAGATTATATTTTTTTATATAATTTACTCTATATGTTTACTGATATAAATAAAATGTAGCTTAAAAACTTATCAATCAAAAATAATAACGGTCAGTTGCACAAACTTCCATTAATTAACAAAATATAATTAAATAACATAATATAAATAACTATTATTACTTGGCAGTTGTTTAATATTTTAGCTTTAAGTAACACCAATGTTTTTATATTTTTAATATTCAAATTAATTCAAATTTAAATAATGGTAATCCATCTAATTAATTAAAAATCACATTATGAAACTAAAACTTTCAATTGTATGATAATTAAGTAAACATTTGAAATGAGAGTAACTTTCTCTTTCACTCCAAACATAACAAAAGTTTTGTATGGTTGGAAGACTGATATAGCTCATCACCAAGTGCAGAATATAAAATTAACAAACCTATCCACAGTGAGAACACATGTTTTGTTCTTTTCCGAGTTCTCATTGATCAGTATGACATCACTGATATGTTTCCATTCTAAAACTGTGCTGAGTTTCTGAGATCGAGACACTAGGAGACCATTTGAGGACACTGTCAGTATGCTGTCACCATGTAAGCCACATTTGCGTGATAGCCCGGTAGCCACTATTGTTACCGAGTAGGAATCTTTGAGCAATGTCTCGGTGCCTGAAAATATGGGCATGATAAAGCATGATTAAAAGGCACTTTTATTCATTTTTCATTACATATTGAATATAAAAGTACCTTTTCATAAATCAAAGAAGAGATATCAAAAATATATGAATATTAGGATCCCAAGAAAGGTTCAATTGAGCTAATGATGAATACAGTTTTAATAACAATTGATTTATCTATTTTTATTTAATTAATTAAGAAGAAAATAAAACAACACCATCAACCTTAACAAAGTATACGAATGGACCTTGCCTATGCAAAGTAGGCAATATGGAACATTACATAGACACACATTATAGGAATAACTATAGTTCAAATTTGACAGCAAGATCTTATTAGCAATAATGATGTAAAGTATTATTGAAATCTCCTATTTCATCTAATTCAAACTACAAATTATGAATATTCCATTGAATGGGAAGGTAAAAAAAACTGTGAGTTAAAAAAATATTAATTGATATATTGAAACCTATGTATTTACAAATTCATGCATTTTTTTTTTGTCTATTTGATTTGTCAAAAAACTGAAATAAAATTAAGTATAGAAAAACAAATTACTGAATTATAGTGTTATATTAAAAAAGTTAATTGTTAACAGTATTATGGTTTTTCAAAATGAATTTCAATTACAACTTGGTCATTATTATTAATCAACATTTAATATCTTATCCTTTTAAGTAATGAATAAATATATTACATGCTATTGATGTTTTTATGTGTATACAGAAATATAAGAAGTTAATTATAGGACTCTTCTCTTTTATATTAATTACAATAACATGTACTGTTTCACTCACACTTTAGTATTACTAAGTAACTAGAATTTCAATCATGTTATTATTAAATAAATCCATCCATATACTTAAGTTTACATACAACACTCATATTGACATACAGTTTTAAAAACAATAATGCAATTAACATAGATAAAATGATGATACTAAGCTTAATTGTATTATGTCAAGTCATGAATTATGCCATGGATGATTGCACATTCAAATTAATTTAGGTCATTAGCATTGAATAAGATGACGTAGGTTGATGCTCATTTAGGCCATGGAAAGACACATAAAACATATACAATTGAATTTTGATGCAATTTTTTATTTTCTATGGCTACTTCAAAGTGTTTAAGGGGAAACAGTGACAATACAATGCAACACTTTCTATTACTATTAAGTATACACTATAAAATATATACTGGTCCTTAAGTACCATTAATTATAATGTATTAGAATAGCTATTTTGTCTACTTTTATAGAAAATAATCAGGAATGACTACCACAAATACTCAAATTTAGTTAACCTATTAATCATTGTCAATAAAATAAGTATGAAGGGTAGATATACCATAATAATGACGTCATAACATAAAAAAATAAATGTAGGTAAACTTACCAAGCAATGTACTGTCTAGAACATTTTTTATTTTCTCCATCCATAACTGCGCATCGTTTAATGTCTGTGCAGCAAGCAGTATTCGTGGCTTACGAGGTTCACAATCAGAAAACACTGCGAAAGCATATGGCCTCGTACGAGACTTCGCCCTGCGGACCACGCACCCCGAAGGGAGCTCCACCGTTCCTGCTGGTGCGCCAGCTTCGCTGCAGTATACTGCTAGCGATCCTCCTCCTGCACACGTGGGACTGGGCCGCAGTATACACCATTGTCTTTTCCAAGTCTAACAATAACAATTATATTTTATCAGTACCAAACAATGTAATCAAACACGGAACAAAAATTTGTGAATAATACTCACCTTGAAAGGATTTAGGCCAAGATTTGATTTAAATGGATATTTCACTTCTAAATATCCAGACATATTTTGTAAACATATGCAAATGAATGCCAATTTTATTGATATTTTAACAAAAATCACCACATGCCGTTGTCGTTCACTCAAACTTTGTTTACAAAAAAAACCATAGAGAAAAATAAATGCACAAAAGGAATGGCAGTTGCAATTTTAAAAATCGATACCTATTGAAAACCGGTTTTGAATAGTAACGTGCCTCTTGTAAGTTAATAACACAGAACAGATAAAAAGGTTAGAATGATAACGTACTAACATTAGTACTAGGACCGCGCGTGCCAGATATCACACAGACATAAAACTTCACCTATTCAGCTCACAAAGAGAGCGATGCTTCCATTGGCTACAAAAGTTTCAGCAAAATTAGTATATACTAGCCTATTAATACAGGTGATTTTACAGTAATACACAAAATGTATGGCTAGCTATAATAAAAATTAGCACAATTACTTTTGTTAGTTCTAAATATTATATTTTGTGCGCGGATATTAAATTAGTTAATGTGTAAACATTTGAAATACATGTTTCATTACATAAAAATGTTATTGCACGACGTATCTGCATTAAATCAATTTTTCAGAATATAATGCAAAGAATTTTACGCTTCTGTCAACACTGAAATAGTGATGTGCCCTGTGATTCACAATTTGATATCGATAATCAGAAAATCATTGATATATTGGGTTAATATAATAAAATAATTTATTAATTTATCATTTCGCATATTCACGAAAAAAATCTAATGAAAATAAATACCATATGTATGTAATCACTTCACAATGATTGTAATCAACTTTCACTTGAAACGGCTCGATCAATTAGACCAATTCCTATCTTGCTAAAGTAGCAATGTAACTGCGATTTTTGTCAGTTTTAATCAGAAGTAGGCTGCAACGGGGTCACATATCAAGAGCAGGTGACAGTGATGATAATTTGGCCCTTTGGGGGCTAGATTTTATAATTTGAATTAGCCTTTTTTCTATTATATAGAGTCTGGCAAGCGAAACGTGTCACAAGAAAAGGGCGGCAATTTCAAAAATTCTTAAGCAGTAAACACTGAATGTAGTACTGCAAAATAATTTTGATACTTTTATTAATTATATTTAATCTTAACATTTAGATATCAATTAAAATTATTTGTTTTGGAACATTTGACTAAAGCGTGACTGTTCTTAATTGTACAGTTAACAGCATATCAGTAGGCCTATTCACTAACTCAACTGACAACCAAGAATCGTCATCACCGTAAAAAATAGACACTTTGATTGTGTCAAAATCACTATTTCGTATTCTCTATCAATGATGAGCAATTTCGAAATGTCAATATCGGCATTCTCCACTGGACTCCATTTTGACACTTGATTTCGTATCGATAAACTGTATTAAAGTAACATTGTTGCAAAGCATATTTGAAGTCGTCGCATAGTACCTCTTAAGCCATTTGTTGTTAAATTAAAGCGAAAAAAAATACGTATCCAATATTTTTCTATTATCTGACTGACGGACTAAATCGAATCTTTTTTTTAACCCATTCGTTATACCTATTGGCTAACAGCACTTATAATATTAAAAATTCATATTTGTCATTAATTAAAAGGGTGTTTTTTGCAACGACTTCTTTGTTTTTTTGTAATGAATATGGGCGACTCTGGCCACATTTTTTTAATAAATGTGATGTTAGCCAATTTTGATTTCTGGCCCTTATATTTATAATGTGTTCATAACACATACATGTCTCCTAAGGGATTTTCATCACAACCTTTTGCTCTGATCCAGAACCACTATCTATCAAATTAAATTAGTCAATATAAACACCAGATTACAATAAAAAAAACATTTATTTTTGTTACAATTAAGTGCCATGGATAAATTACATAATACAGGTGTCACAAAATCATCATGTTAATCACAATAGAAAATTTAAGATAAGATTTTGACTATGAATCAGACTAAAAATACTTTAGTCTGATTCATAGTCAAAATCTGTTTCTAAATATTCTACACCTGATAACAATGACAAGGAATCATCAGAGTCACTCTCTTCACTACTGTCTGCACCAACAGATATAATAAATTTTTCAAGTTCGTTTTCAACAATGCCATCTTTTAATTTGTAATCATTTTCGACATTTAAAACATGATCAGTGTATTTCTTCCAGTCACTAGGGGTAATTAAGTTAAAACACTCTATTATTAAGTTTTCCATTTCCTTTCCTGGTATTCCAATGTTTCTGCTTGCAATTTTTCTTTTTGCTTGACTCCAAACCATCTCTATTGGGTTTAAGTCACAATGATACGGTGGCAGCAATAAAAGTTCATGATTATGTTCTTTTAAAATCTCTTCAGCTTCATATACAGGCAATGTTTTCTTATCATTAACCAAACACATTAACTCTGCCTTTGTCTGATATTCCTCAAAATGTATTCCATTATTTACAAGCCATTTACGGATATCTGCTTTGGTATTAGACATTATAGGCGGTTTATTGATTTGTTTTATATGGTAGCTGGCATTATCCATAACAATTACACTGGGCTTACTTAAATTTGGTATTAATTTTTCTCTGACCCATTTCATAAAGTTCGATGAGTTCATATCATCATGATAATCAGCAGATTTGGATTTACTACTGAACACTAATAATGCACCAGGCACAAAACCTTCCTCAGATCCAGCATGCACAACAATATGCCGTTTTCCAGAGGATATCTTTGTAGTGACACCAGTTGTTGAAGGTCCTTGCCAAGACTTTTTAACTTTATAATTCTGATGTACATAAGTTTCATCAAGGTACACAATTTGCTTTCCTTCGTTTCGTTTTATATTTATTTCTCTCAAATACTTGTGCCTCCATGCAGAAATCTGGTATTTTTCTATAAGCATAGAACGTTCATTTTCATTGCTTTTAAAAGAAAATCCATTCTTAAGCATAATTTTTCGTAAAGTCTCACGGCTACCACTGAATCCTATTGCATCTTTTAGTTCATTGTGAAGGCTTCTTAATGTTGGAACAATTTTTTTCACACAGTAAAATTCATTTACTTTATTCCGAATTGCACTTAAATCAAAATTATCTAAAGCAGACACTGTTGGTTGATGAGGTCGTTTTTTCCCAGGAGTGTCCCATTTTCCTTTATTAATTAATGCTTCATTTTTTATCCTTCTTAGTGTCCTTATACTTACATCTATAAAAGATTAAACACTTTGAAACAAAGATATGTTAAATGTATTTAAAAGCAAATAATGATAGACACATACATCAAAATAATTTAAATACCTATTCAACTATGAATGCAATTTATGTTTAATTTAGTTAAGTTTATGTGCATATTTAGCATGTATAACAATTACATGGTTTGATTAGTTTCATGAATTCTGTGAATTTCCTTGTTAAACAAAACATTCTTATGACATCATTGGATGTCAACAATAAAAACCAATACATCATAAAAAACCTATGTAAATATTATAGGAATACTATCAATCTATCTTAAATCAAAACAAGAAAAGAGACCTGTCATTGAAGAAATTTTTTGTAAGTACTGCGTTTCACAATTCAGCATTTCTTGTTTTTCTAAAGTTTTTATTGCATTTATCTCCTCCATTATTGGTTGAATATCACCATCACAGTTATCTGAAATAGAGCAATATTTTATAAAAAATATCTGTTTAGTTAATTACAGAAAATTAAAACGAAAGTATCAAAATTATAATACAAAACTAACCTAAAAAAGATACAACTTTATCTAATCGTTGTAATTTCTCCATGAAATTTTTATTTAATTCAGTTTTCACTTCAGTAAACTTGTCAATCATGATGGAAAGAAGTTTCCTCGATGAACTTTTTATCGGCTTCGACATAATTTTTAACCAAAAACACAAGTTCAAATTCGCAAAAACAACAAAATTCAATATTCTTGAATTGTCTAACGTAGTGTCAAACTGACAGTTCTATGTTGTTGCCATATGAAAACGGAAAAATAGGTGGTGTCACGTTTCGCTTGCCAAACTCTAGTCATAGTTTTATTTTTTGATACCTAGCTATATTTTTTTGTATATTTAATGATCCATATTTTTTTTACTAACTAGGTATTATATGAAGCACAATATATTAAGAATGGAAATTAATAACAAAGATGTCTCATTGAAACTATATTTCAATAATATCCCAATATAACATTTAATTTCACAATATAATCAGAAAATTAGATGTAATACATTATATTTCATTATAAATTTGTAAGTAATTTATCATATTATTTAATATTAATGAAATCATTTACAGAAAAATATGTTGAACAAATGTAACTAGTTTTAGAAGGAAACCATTGACCATTTCTATCACGCGTCAATCCACTTTTCTTTTATGAAAACTGAAACATACAATACAAAACTCTTTATTGTTCACATTACACAATGAATTACAAAATTTAATAGTAAATTAACACTATTATGTAACAATTGGCGGCAACTATTATGTAACAAATTAACACTATTATGTAGCAAAAACATACAAATCTCTAAAAAATTTCTGTTAACTATTTATCTTAATAGATTTAATGTTATAATTGCATGTAAATTGATTGCCATTCATAATATTAGGGTTAAGTACTATCGATAGCATTTTATCGATATCTGCAAGCACTATGTTAACAACTGACACAATCTCACGGAAAAAAAAATGTGATTATATCTCGATATACTGATATATATCCAATATTTTTTACTTACCGATGAAATGAAATTTCTCCTTTTTTCAGAATTACATTTTCATTACGGAAACGACTCGTAATAACGGCACTATTCGGCATATTTTCGTATTTTTCGACGCACCATAGACCACTATGACATTGTGCAAATAATAAACTGGAAATTTGAGTAACATGACGTTCATATGACCGTTTTGGGCATATGGATGGTCGCACGACCCCGCCCACTTAATCGTTCTACCTTTTTATCTGTTCTGTGGTTAATAATGTAATGAGGAAGTATTTTAAGAAAAATAAGAAAAAAAGAGAGCACTTAAAAATGCATTTCACTAGATGGCGACTCTTACATAAGTTGATTTTTGCAGGAAACGAATGGACCAAGG